AAAACCGCTCACTTCCAATTACAATTATCGTGAATGGATAAAAATTGTTCATTGACTTTTGGAACCAATCACTGTTCTGGCGATATGAGGTTTGAATGGACATATATAAAGATGATAAATATGATAAATATAGTTATATATAATTATATATATATATACTTGTAACCAACGATCATATGGTTTTCTTCAGATGCGGAAAACATTCCGGGGAGCGATCATTTAACGTAACCATCCCATGATCCCGTCTCGAAGTCGTGGCAGGAGCTGGAAGCCTTAAATGGCATGGCTGCCATGGTCCATCAAACATACAATACCAAGGATAGGAAATGATAGGAAAGGTTCAATATATGTACATATATATATATATATCCTGGTTGGTGGTTTCAAACATCTTTTATTTTCCATAATATATGGGATAATCCTTCCCATTGACTATTTTTCAAGATGGTTAGAACCACCAACCAGATACAATACCATGGATTTAATATATGTGAAAGGTCCATCAAAGTATACCATGGACTTTGGGATACTTTGGGGTCTTGGGGGGTAAATAGAAAATCATACAGGGCTATGTCATACACATATTTGATCATAATCATATCTGACCTCGAAAATGCATGAACATGAACATGCAAATGCTGGCTTAGCCTGGCTTACCCCATGATACCTCCAGTTACCATGGTATCTCCAGGTACACACCCATCATTAAGCTGAAACTCCGACGGGTGGTGACCTCAGTGTAATCTCTTCGGAGGGGTGTCATCCAATGGGGATTTTCATGATTTTCATCATCCAACTGGGAATCCAACTGTGAACCCAATCAGTACAAGAGGTTTTTCATGGTTTTTCCCATTTTTTCCCCATGAAATCCCAGTAAATCCAGGATAATCCAGTTTCCCATCACTAACCATTGACCATGACTCAATGACCATGGCTACATGGCTGCGCTTTTGAACACTGCAATGGCTACATGGCGGATGGGATGGGATTGATGGGATGCTGGCACCCGGCTGGAAATTTGATGGTTCCAACTTGGGGATAGGAGGTGAGGCTGGAAATGATCAATTGTTCATGGCAAGATATGGGTGAGTTTCCACCAAGCCAGGTGGGTCCCCATGGGTCCCCGTTGGATGTGCCGAAATCACCCCGCAACGGGTCACCATGAATGATCTACATAGCTATTGAAAATGGCCATTTATAGTGAGCTTTCCCATTAAAAATGATGTTCTTACATCTCCAATGGAACAACTCTACATCAATCCATTGTCCAAGCCCAGTTTTTTCAAGGAATCATGAAGTAATCATGGTGTCTCAGCCAGGGTTTTCTGTACATGTTCGAAACTTAGTACATGTTGGTGCCTTCCATGGCATTTCCGGGGTCAGGTGAGCATCGATCTGCTTTTTGCTCGCCTGGTGAGGCGAAATTGGGATCCAGTGGGTTTGTCGGCAGTTGGGATGATTTTTATGTGCAATTATATTCAATTTATATCCCAAGGATAGGAAATGATAGGAAAGGTTCAATATATGTACACATATATATCCTGGTTGTTGGTTTCAAACATCTTTTATTTTCCACAATATATGGGATGTCATCCTTCCCATTGACTCGTATGTTTCAAGATGGTTAAAACCACCAACCAGGTTGGGAATCCTTGGGAGATGGGGTCCCTTTGGCCATTTACCCAAGTGGAACTGCACCCTCAAGCAGTACAGTAAACAATCAGTTAACATAGTTTAATTACCATAGATAAATGGTATGTTAACTAAACTAACCAGCTAAAGAATGTGTTTTTTGTCTCCAGGGTATCTGCGATTGGCCGCGATTGGCCATAACCAGCTGGTATTTCTGCTAGAGGTGGTAAGAAGATGGGGATGTCAAGCAGCGGAGCAACGCAACTTGCGGTAAGAATTGAACGCTGTCATGATTAATACCATTTGACGATGATTTGTTTTTCATTTTTTTCGGAAACCTATATATATATATATACAGATATTGATCGTTCATTGATGGTTATTGATGGTTATCGGATATATATATATATATTAAACACCATTTAAAACATCATATCATCAATAATCATATAACAATTTTGATTTATCAACCTATAAACACAATTATCATCAACCTATAAACATCATTTATATATAGGTTTAAACACAACATCAATGGTTATTTGATAATTAAACCTATATCAATAACCATTTGGGATAGGTTGGCACACCGTGGCCAGGCCGCTGGAACCCGGCAGCGACCTGGAAGCTGTGAAGGTGTGGACATCGACCGGAAAGATGGTGATTTCTGCGAGAAAACAAGGGGAAAATATGGGAAAATCTGATATATACCAATATACATACATACATATTTATATATATATATATATATCAATATACATATATATATATATATATATATATATATATCAATATAAATATATATATATACATACATATATATATATATCAATATATATATATGTGTGTATATATATGTACATATATATATATCAATATACATATATATATAGCAATATATATATATATCAATATATATATATAGATCAATATATATATATATATCAATATACATATATATATATATATATAGCAATATACATATATATATATTGATATATATATATATATATTTATATCAATATATATATATATATATCAATATATATATATATATCAATATATATATATCAATATATATATATATTTAGATATATATATATATATATCAATATATATATATCAATATATATATACATATATATATCAATATATATATATATATATATCAATATATATATATCAATATATATATGTCAATATATATATATATATCAAATTATATATATATGTCAATATATATATATATATATATATCAATATATATATATATATATGTCAATATATATATACATCAATATACATATATCAATATATATATACATATAAATATATATATCAATATACATATATCAATATATTTATATACATATATATATATCAATATACATTTACATATATATCATAATATCCCTTTTGGATCCTTATGACTCATCGACTCATCATCCTTTTTTTGAAGACTGACCTGGAAGTTGCGTGTGGCCATATTTCATCCATGGTGGTAGCAGTTGTTTTTTTCTTTCGAAAACTGACTGGTGAAGGATAGGTACACATATATTACATATATACACATATATGTGCATTGTACACATATATGTGCATTGTATGCACAGATGCATGTGGGTGAAAAATCGTTCCCCTGGTGTAAGTGGCGCCCACTTCGCGCAGGATGATGAGATTCTGAAAGATATGGATGACAAGAGCGTCCATAGCTTGGCTCAGCATGGTAGTAACTCACTCAAAAAGAAAAAACATAAATGGCCAATCCTCACTCAACCCAAGAATCAACCACCAATCTGGGAATGCAAAACATAAGTTTACAGCATTTTATACCTATAAAAATGGTGAGTCATTGGGGATGGTTTATGGGTTTTGCCAGTAAGCTCACTGGAGGTTCGGTGCATCAATGGCTATCGCGTGGCAGTCCCTTGGCGGGTTGGACGTCTGAAGAAACGTTGGAGTCGATGACCAACAATCCAGTACAAGAAGAATACACGAATTTCCAGGATATTGTCCAATCATTGCATATCCAATAAGAGATTATTGTTACCCTCTGGTAAACTAACATAGCTATTGAAAATGGCCATTTATCGTGGATTTTCGCATTAAAAATGGTGATTTTCCATAGCTATGTTAGTTTACCAGAGGGTATCCAATAAGAGATTAGTGTCAATTGTTGTCCAATTATTTCCAAGTCATAATAAGACACAATAACACCATCATTGCATATCCAATGAGTTGTCCATCGTATTTTCCCATGATTGGTCATGATTCCCATCCAGGATCAAATCCTTTCGCTGGTTCCCAACCAGGACCGGTCTCGCGCGGATGCCAGGTTGGACAAAACAATCCCCATTTGCATTGAGATGTTTGCCCTCTCGTAATTCAATATATCTATGTTTTTTTTTTTTAAATAGGTAAATCATCTAGAAATTTTGGCCATTGATCGTATCTATGTCAAATTATCATAGGGTAAAGTGATATAATTTATAATATGGATAGAAACATAGAGATATAATATATGGAGATATGGAGTATTTGGGTTCAGGAAATGGGGCCCTGGGGTTGCTGTCATGAGGGCTACCAACATGGCATAACCAATAAACATTGCTATCTAACGATAATGGGATATAATGAATGATATATCATGGGATATTAGTATAATATATACATATATTCTATGTTTAAACTATAAACTATAAACTATGATATGGATGTGTCCTAAATTGGGGGCCTACCCTACACTTATGGCCATGTTTATAGTGGAAAAGGGTCCAATCCAGTGGCAATGGAGGTATATATTTTTTCAGACAGGCCCAAATGTTTAGGACTTAGCGTGTCACCAACGTTTTTGGTTTTCACAATTTTATTGAATGTTCAAGACTTAATCTTTGAGCAGGTTGGTTGTTTCTGTTTTGATATAATGATATTGGAAACCCATCGTTTCGGGCCCATTTCAGCGAAATGAATCCGAAGCTGCTAATCCCATGCCTCTAAATTCCAGGAGGCATTCAGAGAAACCCTCCGCTTTGCTCGGGGATCTCAGGGCGTTTTCGGATTCGGTGGAGAGCGTTAAGGTTGTGCACCTGGGATGATGCTTCGACACCTCAGTGCAGTTCACATGTTCCACCAAATCTAATACAATATGTATTGTACTTGCATACAAGTGTAACTATTGTTACTAACTATTGAATTCAAATTCAATGTAAATCTTACCACCACCCGTTCACTATCCCTGCAGGTTCGGTAGGATGCAGAGCTTTGCACAAGAACTGGAAGACCGATTCGATGAATTGTTTGCTCTTTCTACACATTGGGCAAAGGACATGTACTTTTATTTACACCATTCATGACCATTCAGGCAATTG